ATACAGGCATGAGCCACTGTGCCTAGCCTCTTGTATCTCTTCTAAGAGCACTAATCCCATTCATGAGGGCTTCACCTTCACAACCTAATTCACCTCCTAAAGACTTCACCTCAGCCGGGCGCAGTGGCTCATGCCTGTAATCCCAGCAATTTGGGGGGCCGAAGTGGGTGGATTGTGATATCAGGAGTTCAAGACCAACCTGGCCAATGTGGCGAAACCCTGTCTCTACTAAACATACAAAAATTAGCCAGGCCATGCTACTCGGGAAGCTGAGGCAGGAGAGTCGCTTGAAACCAGGAGGCAGAGTTTGCAGTGAGCCGAGGTCATGCCACCGTACTCCAGCCTAGGCAATAAGAGCGAAACTCCATCTCAAAAAAAAAAAAAAGACTTCACCTCTTAACACCATCACATCAGGGGTTAGGATCTCAATACGAATTTGAGGGGAACAAACATTCATTCAGTGGATAACAAAGGGTTACCTTAAGTAGCTCATGGAAAGAGGCAGAGTGGAAACATCTAAGACCTTTGGAAAATAATCCTAATGGCTACTTTCTACTGCACTTGACCGTTTTCTAATCATGTACAAATCTATGAGCACATTTGCGTCTCTGGGAGCTGGTTTTACCAAGAGTCTTTAAATCCAACTGCTGACATTTACTAAGCACTTGGACTTTAAAACAAACCCCAGGAGGCAGGGAAAATGCCAAAAGTTTCCCTACAGCTCAATAAAGGGAAGCAAAAATAAATTAGAAAAAAAATTAAAAAAGGAAGTTGTCATTCAAAGTTGTCATTCTCACAAATGTCAGCTGGTGGAACTGCTACACACAAATTATACTGTTAACCCCTCACCGTCAGCCTCCAAGACCATGATCATTCTGCCTCCTGAAACAATGAAAGCATGGCTTTGAGAAGAGGCGTACCACCTGAGGTTCTGTGGCCAGGACATGGCAGACTGGGACTAGAGCTGGACATTTTGCCCCAAGGTGATGGATCCCATCCTGAGCCTTATGGACTTGAGGAATTTTCTCTACCTTCCTCACACAGAAGCCACTTGCTCACTTGTGTTCCATCTTGTGTGCTTGAGCTGAGATGTGCATACACCACCTGTCATGGGCTGAAGTGTGTCCCTGCTCCAAATTTAGATGTTGAAGTCCTCACTCTCAGCACCTTAGAACCTAATGTGTTTGAAAAAACAAATCTTCTGAGAGGTAATTAAGCTAAAATCAAGTCTTCAGGGTGGGCCTTAATCCAATGTGACTGGTGTGCGTATAAGAAGAGGAAATTTGGACCCTTGGAAAGATAACAGAAGCATGCACAGACAGAGGGACACCGTGTGAAGACACTGCGAAAAGGTGACCATCTGCAAACCAGGGGGAGAAGCCTTGAGAGAAACTAGCCCTGCCGATGCCTTGATTTTGGACTTCTAGTCTCTATAACTGTGAGAAAATAAATCTCCATTGTTTAACCTGTGGTACTTTCTTATGACAGCTTGGTATAGTTTGGATTTGTGTCCATCCCTGCCCAAATCTCATGTTGAATTAGAGGAGGGGCCAAGAGAGAGGTGATTGGATCATGGGGGGCGGGTTTTTCTCATGCTGTTCTCCTGATAGTAAGTCTCACGAGATTTGATGGTTTTATAAAGGGGTGTTCCCCCACACATGCCTTCTTGCCTGCCACCATGTAAGTCATGACTTTGCTCCTCATTCACCTTCCACCATGATTGTGAGGCCTCCGAAGCCATGTGGAACTGAGTCAACGAAACCTTTTTCCTTTATAAATTACTCAGTCTCGGGTATGTCTTTATTAGCAGTGTGAGAACAGACTAATACAGAAACGTAGAAACTGGGAGCTGGGGAGTTGCTGCCTGGGATACCCTCCAATTGGTGGTCCCATGAGGCAGGGGCTGTGTCAGTCCTGCTGGCCACACAGTGGTGCTCAGAGGTCATCAGCGGGTGCAGAGCTGAACGGGATGATTGGCTTGGACTCTTATGGACTTGGGCAGAAAAGGAGCTTGCAGCCCACAGGAATGGGTGGTTTTGTACAAAGGACACTTGTCAGCAGCCCTCAGCCTCAGCCCAGCATGCCCCAGTCTGGTGATGTCACACAGGGTGCCACCATGGCCACAGAGCAGCAGAGCAGGGTTGGATTTCATTAGCTGTGACCCATGTGACCAGAGCTGCCCTCTGTCCCTCAGACACAGTATTTTAAAAGGAAAGTTTTATTATTAATCAGGTATGGTGAGGCCAACAGATCAGGAGATAGCTGCTGCTGAAAAGAAATTGTGCTACACTCACAGATCCCAGGAGATGGGGCAGGACACACCACGGGGCAGGGGGTAGGGGGAGTGGGGGTGGGCACTGGGGAAAGCACCAGGGCCTGGCAGGAGGGGGAAGGGTAGGGGGAAATGGGCAGGAACGTTTATTGTGATTTCCAAGGGAGCAAACGGGTAAGTCAGGCCCAGCAGGCGTAAGGCTGGCTGGTGTGCATCATTCCAGTGGGCTCTGGGGGTGTAGGGCTGTCCCTAGTTATCTGGTTCCTGGCCCTGAGGTAGCTAGGGCAGGAGAACGGTGGCCCAGAGTGTGAGAGCCCCATAGGGGAGGGGGTTGGGGATGTGGGGTTGGGGATGTGGGGTTGGCATCGGTTGGTTCGCTTGTGTGAGTTCTTGTGGGAAAGTGGTTTGCTGTTTGGGGGAACTGGCTAACCCTGAGAGGGACTCAACCAGTAAAACTAGTAAGTACTCATCATTCATCAAAAAAGATGCTTCATCTCTTTGAACTTCAGATGCCTCTTCACTAAAACTAGGGAAATAATGCTGACAGCTGACTTCTCAAAGAGAACCTCAGGAACGTATACTAGAAGGCAGGGTGCCCACTACCTGCACAGTCTCGGAAGGAAGGAGTAGAAATAAGGGTATTGACAGGGCTTTCTCCTCTGAGCTGTGTGATTTTAAGGCAGCTCTTGAAAGACTGGACCTTTTGATCAGTGTGCACAGTGAGGGTAGGGTCTTAGAGTGAGTACTGATTAGCAAGTTTTTGGTCTTGATAAGAAAACAGGGCAGCAGCTTTGTTTTCCAGCAGAAAGTATTTCCTAAAGCAAGCAGCTAAATTATTTTTCCTAGTCCCAGTATTGTTTAGCACAGAAACAGGGAAGTATGCTAGTTTCAATAATAATAATAATAGTAATGTTTACCTCATAGGATTATTAGGAAAGTCAGGTGAAATTATGTAGGAAATGTGCTTAGCACAGTCTCTGCTTAATAAACGTAGCTATTAATTAGGGTGAGGCAGAAAATAACCAGAGGAGAATGTGATGAAGCCATTTGGGTAGGGTGGTGCATTATCCTGGTTTATCTAAGACTGGAGGTGTTTTGGGATGGGGAATTTCAGTGCTAAAACCAGGAAAATCCCAGGCAAATGAAGTCAAGTTGGTTAATCTCGGTTCAAAACAGGAAAACCCAATTGTTGCACATAAATTTTTTGGAATTTAACTTGGATTTTTCTTTTAAGCATCAGAAATGTCTAATAATGTTTGTGAGTGCCAGAATAGAACATGTGGTGGTCCTTAGGGAGAAGGGAGTAAGATTTCCCAAGTAGCAGAGGCACTATCCTGCAGCAGGTATTCGCTAGAATCCTGCTTTAGGGCCTTTGCTGAGGGTCTTGAGATAGCCCTTTGGAAGCATCTCGAAGGCTGCGTTGGAAATAAATAAGCCCAGGGAGGATCACACTGCAGGGGAAACCTGAGACCCTAAGACAGTCAGAATCACCTGGGTATGACAAGCAGAACTCTGCCTCTTTCTCTCATTTCTCTCTTCTGTTCAAATAAAAAATTGAACTTGAATGAAGAAGCACCCAAAACTGGGGTTAAAAACTAGACTTTTTGGGTTCAAAGTGAGACTTTTTTTCTGTTCCTCTTTTTGCACATATGGAGCCCAACACTGCTTTAGTGAGCTGCTTCTTGCCAAATGTTGGGACAGCACCAGCCCATTTAGTTCTCACCAGTGCCCTGCAAGGAGTGTACTATTACCTTCACATCACACACCAGGAAATTAAGGTTGGGAGAGGTTAGGGGACTTGCAAAAGGTCATGGAGCTATGAAGGGACAAGGAGCTGGGATTCAAATTTGGGTTTGCAAGGAGAGAAGTCTTTCTTCTCAGCCTAGTAAGTGTGGGAGATCAATGGCAGGGTGATTGGATCTCCAAGATGAATGAGTCAACAGGACTTTCAAAGCACTATCTGAAGGTAAACAAGTCAGTATCATCTCTCCTTAGGGTCTGTGAGTTACTTTTCCTCTCTTGAGGGAGACACTGAAATCTACACCAAATTGAGCGAATTGAGCCCTATGGAATTGCGCCTGAAGCAGGGGCTCAAGTTTCTCTCAGGCTTCCTTCGCTTACAGCCCCCAGGTGATCCTGGCTGGGTGCTATTTCCAGGAGGGTCTCTCCCTCAGCAGGGAAAGGAGAGCAGGATTTGCAGAAGTTCCAGTTGGAGACAGAGCCCTGGGGGCGGGGGTTGGTGGATAGGGGTAGGCACTTGGCTTAAGCCAGATCTGAACTGTTTCCTTCTATCCTGCTCCTGGGGCAGGAGGCCCCCTGCAAGGCCCTAACTCTACTGATCTTATTTCCTTCTGGGAAATTTTCCCACAGGGAGGCAGGAAAGGTCAGCAGTGTGTCCTGAGAGCCCTAAGGCAGGCCACCCACTTTTCTACCACAGGAGTGCTTTGGGAGAGGTACTGGAGGCCACACCTGTGTGCCCACTGGGTCCTTTTAAGACATACCAAGGAGTTGCAAGTGGGGGATGCCACCGCAGTGCTGGGCCTGCAAGGGAGCCCCAGAAGACTCTATTAAGCTCCCATTTGACAAGTTTTAAAAGTGGCCCAACCCAGGCATGTGCACCGGATCAGAAGCCCCATCTCTCTAAATTACTAGGTTGAAACGCCATATCTTCACAACTCATGCACCGTCCTCACTACTTCTGCGGTAACTGTGTTCCATCAGGGCTGGGTTTGATTTTTTAAATGAACTCGATTTGTTTTATTGTTTTATAATTTGAACAAGTAGAGATGGAGGTAAATAGAAAACCAGCATCTGTGTATTACACATATAAAGTCACCATAAAAATAAACACCATGAATACTCTTCAGCAATGGGAATGGAAAATCTACAACTACATACCACTGAACACAAACGAAAATCACGAACAACAGGTTGAGGCAGCGAAGCCGAGCCCAGGTGATTCCATTTAAATGACCGATGGAAAACTAAACGCAGGCAAAATTATCTTCTGTTGGGAGTCAGGAGAGTGGCTGCCCTTCTGGAAGGAGGGATAGAGAGAGGAAAGGGACAGGGGGAGGGGCTTCCGGGAGCCCAGAAAAATTACGTTTTGTGAATTCAAAATTAGCAAATTCTGTTTCTCCATCTGGGTGCTGGTTTCACAGGTTGTTCAGTTTGTGATGATTCACTCCGTTTTACATCCAGTTAACATCACGGATGGTGCTAAACTTCAACATAAAAATAAATTAAAAGTAAGTCGGAGGCAGCTAACACACTAGTGTGCGTATTAAATTCTAGCCACAAACCAGGGTCAGTTTAGGGCCTGAGGTCTGCTCCCCTCTTTTAAGAAAAGGTTGAACAAGTGCCCAGCAGGGGTCAAAGCCTGTGCTGGCCACGTTTTCTGCTCCTCCTCCTCCTCCTCAGGTTTCGAGGGGCATTGGAAAGGAAATGACTTTCTCACTGTGCAATGCCAGGCTTTGTTCAAGCACTTGGGAAAACAATGAGGAGGCAACTTATTCCCAGCTCCAGGTAAATGATTAAAATGCGATGAGGGTGGGGAGCTGGGGCGGACAGAGTGAAGGGTGGGAGGTGGACGGCTGAGGGTGGGGGGCGTCAGCAGATGTCAGAGTCTGGGGATGCCTCAGTCCTGAGGTTGAGCGGGTTGGGGAGGGGCGCTCCAAAGAGCCCGGGGATGCCCCTATCACAGCCCTGGCAGAAGGAGGAAGCACTGCGGAGGCCCCACATTCGCAGGGGACCACAGGCCAGGTGCGCGTGGATTTGCGTGGTTTACTCACTCCGATCTCAGGTCTGGCCTAGAAAGTAAACTGATGCTTTCACCTTCCCAGGGCAAGGGGAACCGGTGGAAGGGACTCAGCTCCCCAGTTTGGTGCCTCCTCGGTGACCACTCCCTCCTTTCTCAGGCTCCCACCCTGAGCTTCAGCAGAAACCCCCTTCTGCAATGATGGCCCTGGAGCACCAATGTCATAGCCACCCACGACAGCCCTGAACCCGTCCGACCCCCATAGGGCCCCTCAGCCCCCAAGGGCTGAGCCAGGGCCTCCCTGGGACCCTCTGCACTCCCGTCAGGCGGGCCTTCTCTGGGCGGGTTTAGTATTAAGCGTTAATGATTAAATGGGGGTTCTCCATTAACCCCGCAGCAGGCCTTTGTCTCTGGACTGCCTAGGCCTCCTCCTTTGAAATGCCACATAAAAATGATGGATGTCCTTCCCTCCCTCCCGGGATCAGCGGGTCCTGTTTCCCTTTAAAGTTGAAGTGGGCAACACAAGGGCCAGCCTTGTTTAAACACAGAAGCGCGAGGCCGACCCCGGGCTGCGCAGGAACGGCCGGGCGGGGCGGGCAGGCAGAGATAAGCGCGCGGCGGCTGCAGGGTCGCCGGGAGCGGCCCGCGGTAGGGACACGTGGGACCGCGCCGGCTGCACCCGGGTTGCGGGGCCGCTCGCTTAGGGCCCGAGAGGATTTGGAGACCGGTAGGAACCGTCTCTTTGCCGAGGTTCGCGTCGATGGCGAATAATGACATCCACTCCGAGAGTGCTGAACCCGTCCACGCGGCGGAAGGAGTTGCAATCAGAAGTGAACGAGAAAGGGTGTGGGCGTGGCTTGTGCATTCGGCGAGCTGCTCACCTGCACTGCTTAACGCGCGGTCCAGGCGCCGGCAGCATCAGCACCTCCTGGCAAGCTGCTGGAAAGGCGGGTCTCAGGCGGCTGCATCAGAGCTGCACATTAATTCGGTCCCTAGGCGACTTGTGTGCCCAGTAGCTTGAGAAGCCCGGCCTATATAACCAGTGGCTCTAGTAACAATGGGAATAATACTGGCTAATATGTATTGAGTGCCCAGCGTGAGTCCAGCACTGTCTTAAGCACCTTACAAAATTGTCCTATTTAATCTTTATGACATGCCAGATGCACCATTTTGCAGATGAGAAGTTTGAGGTCCGCAGAGTTTTGGTGTTTTGTCAGAGATTACACAACTGATTATTAGAAGCCCAGGCTGTAATAGGCTCGCATACAAGCACACGTGCAGAAGCCCCTTCTAGGTTAGACCTGGGGTGTGTGTGTGTGTGTGTGTGTGTGTGTGTGTGTGTGTGTGTGTGACTTCAAGTTGGAGATTGTCCTTTGAAATAATCAGGGGCCAAATCTTGGCTGCTTAACGTGCACCCAGCTGAGATGGATCAGTAGGAAGCTCACTTGGCTCAAGAAGACACTCCTCTTGCCTCCCACCTCAGTCGGCTGTAGATAAACATGTGGCATGTCTCCCCTCCACCCTGCAGTGTTTAGAAAGGAACACCAGTGCTGGATGGAACCCCCCCCCCCCCCCCCCACCGCACACATACCCTCAGGTCTGCTGTGGCCCCATGAAAGGGTTAACTTAGGGCTCCGTCACTACATAAATCTGTGTTTATCTGCTGCGAAGTAAGCTATTTAGGTTTCTGATTTACAATCCTTGGTTTTCATAAAAGTCAGTCATTCCCAGTAAAAGAATGTGGGTTAGATTTATAGGATCTGCGTTAGTCTTTAAAGCCCAAAGCCGGTCTATGACTCACCCTCCGTAATGTTCTTGCTCTAGTCCGGAGATATTCATGTGTAAAGAGAAAGTCGGATCTCTGCCCTGAAAAATAAGACTTTTGGGGGGAACTAATTATAATGGCGTCAATTGTACTATGCTTGTAAATTTGCCGTCAGCGGGCCCCCCTGGAGCCTGTTTTCCAGGGGTTTTATCCCTCAGTAAAATGTGCTCTGGTTTGCAGCTTGGCATATGAGACCTCCACTGGTATGAGCCAATGTTTTTTCCTACCAAATTATTAGAAATAAACAGCCCACCAGTGGAAAGGCAGAAAAATTATAAGCAAGGAAAATAAATCTTGGAATGTTTGCATTTGGCGATTTTAATAAAGTCAGTCACTTAGCCCAGCAGCCCAACTGGCTAAATGGAGCTGGCCTGATATTTTTATTTTAATTTGAGTTTGTGTTTTGCCAGTGTGAAATGGGGTCAAGGCAAGACACCATGGAAAAAGGCTTTGATGTCTCCTTGAAAAATATTTTGCACTGTGACTTCATGATATTTGGTGTCCTCTCCCCTTCCCCACCCCCAGCCTCCAGCTAGAGGAGCTGAACGTCTAACCCATGACCATCACACGTAATAAAGTATCACCGTCATCAACAATCCTCTTTCCAACTCCCTCCCCTCCCCCGTGAAGTCTGAATTCAGGCCAGAATGTCTTACAATGTAGAATACAAATGCTGATCAAGATAATAGAATATGATTAAAGGGGATGGAGGAGACCAGCCTTTTAAACTTTCTCCAAAGTAAAGCCAAGGTGTGAGGCCCAAGTGCGAGAGGAGGGAAGGGAAGGAAGGCTGTATGGATTAGGCTGATGGCCAGTCCAAACAGAACTGGTTTAGGAGGTGAAGATTTAGCAGTGGGTGGACAAATGGAGAGCCATGGATTGGGAAGGATGGCAGAGAGCAATGATCCCAGAGTAAAAGCCAGTTCTCCCTCACCAAATGTGTGAAAGACAAAGATGCGATTATATTTGCAAAAGTCTTAATTTAGTCTCAACAAGGGTAATGTGAAAGACTTTGACATTTCTGCTCTTGTTTTGGGGTCAGGAAATGTTTACTGCAGACCACAAGGTGTAGCTCAAGGCCCCAGGATGCATAAACTAATGCGACTTACCTTAACTTTTTCCCAGACCAATGAGAAAGCAGATAAGTTGACAGAAGATTTTAGTACAAGTATGTAGTGCATACAGAATGGTTTAAATCTACCATGCGTGGCCCATTCGTGTTTTTTTTTTTTTTTTTTTTTTTTTGAGACAGAGTCTCGCTCTGTCGCCCAGGCTGGAGTGCAGTGGCCGGATATCAGCTCACTGCAAGCTCCGCCTCCCGGGTTCACGCCATTCTCCTGCCTCAGCCTCCCAAGTAGCTGGGACTATAGGCGCCCGCCACCTCTCCCGGCTAGGTTTTTGTATTTTTTTTTAGTAGAGACGGGGTTTCACCGTGTTAGCCAGGATGGTCTCCATCTCCTGACCTCGTGATCCACCTGTCTCGGCCTCCCAAAGTGCTGGGATTACAGGCTTGAGCCACTGTGCCCGGCCTCCATTCGTGTTTCAATGTAAACAACCAAATCCTGTTGGCCTTTTTTTTTTTTTTTTTTTTTTTTTAGATGGAGTCTTTCTCTGTCACCTAGGCTGGAGTGCAGTGGTGCAATCTCTGCTCACTGCAAGCTCCACTTCCCGGGTTCACACCATTCTCCTGCCTCAGCCTCTCGAGTAGCTGGGACTACAGGCATGCGCCACCATGCCCAGCTAATTTTTGTGTTTTTAATAGAGGCAGGGTTTCACCATGTTGGCCAGGATGGTCTCGATCTCTTGACCTCGTGATCTGCCCACCTCGGCCTCCCAAAGTGCTGGGATTACAGGCGTGAACCACCGCGCCTGGCCCTGTTGGGCGTTTTAAGTCACCTTCCCCTTCACCTCAGTGCAGAGCATTGTGGTAGGTGGGTCCTTTGGGAGCCCTCAAAGATGAACAACATGTGCCTGCCCCAACTGAGCTCAGTAGGACAAGGAAGACATGTGCAATATACCATGTAGAAAATGATAAGGGCAATGCACAGAGAAATTATGTGTGAGTCTAGAGACCAGGGAAGACTTCAGGGAAGAGTTGGTATTTCTGTGGCTCTTGAAGGCTCAGTAGGAGTTCAACATGTAAAGGTGAGGAGCAAGGATAACCCAGAGAAAGAAGAATGAATAAAAATGTTTAGAAGTAGGAGGGTGGTGGCTCCTTTGGAAAGAGGCAGGAGGACCTCTTTGTGGGTGCTTCATGGACATGTGAGGAGTCTAGAGGCCAGATAATGGAATCTAGGCCAGGCGTGGGTATGCTTGCACACTTGCTGAGGAATCTAGACTTGATCTTGAGGGTACTGGGAGCCTTCCCTGACCTATTGAGTCTGGGGTTGGTACCTTATTTGTGGTACCAGAGTATAATCACTTCCTCACTCTCTATTGCAGCCCTTTTCATCCTATTGTACAAGGTCATACTTACCTTACAGATTGGATCGTAAACCCCCTGAGAGTCTTGCTCACTCTTATAATACCAATCCCTAACACCATGCCCAGCACAAAATAGATATGCAAGAAACTTCTGATGCAGAATGAGGGAAATGGAGTTTTCAACATTTCTATAACAATGAATTGAAGGCTTGTAGCAGGGGACAAGTAGCTTGGAACCAGGCTTCAGAGAACTTGGGCATTGGGTCCAATGGTAGCCAGGAAGCAGAGGTTCATTGGTGTTGGCGGGCAATATGGGTTGGGTATATGGTGTCAGATGCCTCCCTTCCCATTTGCTGGGAAATGTGAAGGCTGCCTATGACAGTCCCTGTTAAATCCTGAGCACAGTGCAGCTGTGAGGCTGTGGTCCCAGGAAACGGAAGGGATGTGGATGCCAGAGACTAGGAGGTTCAGAGCCAGGGTGAGGGGAAGTGGCAGGGCTGGCATCACAGATAGGGAGGCTAGGGTGCAGAGTAGTTTGGAGATGATGGTGACAAGAGGAGCACAGTGAATGAAGGAAGGAAAGAGGAGTTCAGTTTGGAATATGCTGCCTTGGAGGTGTACTGTGACTCCCAGCAGAGGGTTTGTAGCTGGCAGGTATAAATATTTAGCACAGAAACGTCTAACAGTGAGTTCCGAAAGAGACAAGGCGAAGAGAAAGCCAAGGTCAGAGCCCAGGAGGTTGCCTATTTTTAGGAGGTGGAGCATCAGACACTAAATCTAAAATTTCCTTTTTTATCATCTCCATCTTCTTTGTCTGTTTTAGTTGAAATTACTTGGGCTCACAGTGGGTCAGCCAATTTTCCTCTCACCTTGTTTTCTTCTTAAAGCCCCATAAATCAGGGGCCTCTCTAGGCATGTGAAGGGCACCCCCCTGGCCCCCTGCAGCATACTAAGAAATAACCCAGCTGGCAGAAACCCTGAACTTTGTGTCACGTTGTGAAAAGCACTCCTGGACAATGGGCAGCCCTCCCCTCCATAGGCTCCATGCATTGGCTTTTTGCAATGACACCCATTGTCTGCTGTGAGAGTGTCTAAAAGCAAGTGTTTTCTGCTCATAAGTTGAGCTGGCTGGGAGGATCCATGGGTGATGGAATGGAACATTCATGTACAAGTTTTTATTTGAACACCTGTTTTCAATTATTTGGGGTACATACCTAGGAGCAGAATTGCTGGATCACATGGTAATTCTACATTTAATTTACTGAGGAACTGCCAAACTGTTTTCCACAGCAGTCACACCATTCTACCTTCCCATCCTCAGTGTATGAAGGTTCCACTCTCTCCACATCCTCACCAACCCACTTGTTGTTTTGTTTTGATTATAGCCATCCTAGAATGTGTGACGTGGTATCTCATTGTGTTTGGATTTGCATCTCCCTAAAGACTAATGAGGGGAATATCTTTTCATGTGCTTGTTGGCCATGTGTCTGTCTTCTTTGGAGAAATGCCTATCCAACATCTTTGCTCATCTGTTAATTGGATTGTGTGTCTTTTTCTGTTGATTGGTAAGAGTTCTTTTTATATTCTAGATACTAGAACCTTGTAGGATCTGTCATTCTGTGGGCTATCTTTTTCACTTTCTTACTAGTGTTCTTTTACGAAACAGTTTTTAATTTTGATGGAATTCAGTGTATCTATTTTTTCTTTTGTTGAGTGTGGTTTTTTTGTGTCATATCTAAGAATCCGTTGTTAAACCCAAGGTCATGAATACTTATCATTATGTTGTATTCTAAGTGTTTTATAGTTTCAGCGGTTACATTTATGCCAAACAACAACTTTTACAGAGATGTGTACAGGGTTAAAGGAAACCAACAAGGAACGCTGCATTACCCTGGAGCTAGCCAGGCAGGGAAGCTGTTGCCATCCCTAGTCCTGAGGGGCAAGAGATGAAAATGGAACAAGTGGAGCTGGAGTTGTGTGGAAAGGGTTGGCCACCAGGAGTGTGTCCTTTGATAGAGGGATGCATCCAATCTGCAGGCAGGGAACCAGGGACTCCTCTGTTCTCTGATCTTCGCTGGTGCCCCCCAGTTGGCTAAATCCTACCCGAAGCAAGAGGGCAAGAGAGCTGGTAAATGCAGTTCATACAGGTCAGTCTCTTAGGGCACCAAAAAGCAGGGAGGAAGTAAACAGAGTGGATCTAGAGATGCGATCAGCTCAATAATAGCTCCAAAGATGTGCAAGTCCTCATCTTCAAAATCTGTGAATGTGCCACATTATATAAAAGGGCACTTTGCAGATACGGACTTTGCAGATGGGGAAATTATCCTGTATTATCCAAGTGAGACCAGAATAATCACAAGGCTCCTTATAGAGGGGGCCTGAGGGTCATTCTAAGAGAGTGAGAGATTTGAAGATGCTTACCTACTGGTTATGATGATGGAGGAAGAGGCCACAAACCAAAGAATGCAGGAAGCCTCTAGATGCTGGAAAAGACAAGGGAATGAATTCTTCCCTAGAGCCTCCAGAAGGAATGTGGCCTTGACAACACCTTGATTTCAGCCCATGAGACCTATTTTGGATTAACGACCTGTAGAACTGACAGGTAATAAATTTGTGTTGTTTTAAGCCCCTAAGTTAGTGGTCATTTGTTATAGCAGTCATAAGAAACTTACACAGGAGGGGTTAGTGGAGGTTC